GATGGGGCTGGAAGATTCAACAGCCCCAGGCCTGCCGGAACAGCCAGGTCCTAATTGCTTTGCGGAAGGCCAGGAGGGTAGTAAGGGTCCGGATCTCAACAGGGAGATCGTTCCAGAGGGCCGGAGCAGCCACAGAGAAGGCCCTCCCCCGGGGAGTTGCCAGCTGACATTGGCTGGTTGTTTTGAAAAGTATCTGATCATGGTACTTATAATCAATGCTAATTGGACTCTGAGAATATGCCCATTCCAATTATATTTTAGTATCATCCTGCAATGCCTCTTGAAAGAATATGTTTGAAAGGCCTATGAAGAGCAGGTATGAAATCGCATCAAACCAGCGATGCAGAATAAAAGCGGATTTGCCCATTTTCTTCTTTCTGACAACCTTTGTACCTTGAGATGTTCATCAAACTCATGTTAGTCAACATCATGAAAAAAAAAATCAAGGGACTAGAATGTTTCCTGACAAGTTTGATAATCCTGTGCCACAATATATGGCTAGTGGAACCAACCTTTAACTCACCTTTAAAAAGAAGGGCATAAAAGTGAGTTTGATCCCCCGATCTTTTGCGAAAGGTTTCAAGTCTTCTCTCAGCTGGATGAGCTGAGTGAGGTCAACCTCATCGCAATAACCGAAGTGAGGAATTTTCAAAGCAGCATTCATAGTTTTCACCATTGCCTTCTGAAATCCTAAAAAAACAGAGAAGGGAAACCATTTACCATTAGTGATGCTCTTGTTGTTTTGCTATTGGGGAAAAAAAATAAGTTAGTTTTTTTTTTTTTTCAAAAGTCTCTTTTCAATAGCAAAACCATTGCTTAGAGAAAATCAGTTATGCAATATTATAATTATCCAATCAGATGTATGAGAAAATCTGGGGGAAAACTGTATGCTTAAGGAAGTGTCAGTTATCTAAAAGGAATCCTGTAGAATCAACTTTGCTAAAGATGTTTTTATCTACTGCATTCAACGGAGACAGTCAATAGCTATGGAAAGTCACCAGGATTTGGGTGGGATATTTTTAGGAAGTCTGTGTGTCCCTGCATTTTATACCTCTCATAACTCTGTATGATAGCTTTCATGGCCTGAAATTATAGCTGAGTCCTTCAGACTCCACACCACCACCAGTGAGTTAGGCAGAAGCAGTTAAAATGAATAATATAACACCCAGTCTTGTTGCAACAGAAGGTTGTTCTCTAGCAAAATTAGAATGATGAACACTAAGATATTATTACTGCAATCCAGGAATCCCCAGAAGTTACTCATATTAATTTTCCAAGAATCAGGAAATTAATCCAACTAATTCCGTAAAATTACATAGAAAAATGTTGGGTTCTAAATTTGAGAAATAATTCCGAAAAACAATCTAAGAGATAAAAAACAAAAAACCACGGGGCTAGTTAGCAATCTTGATCAGGTTCAACATTCATTTTCCTAAAACAATGATCTGCATTGCAATCTGTACATTTATCAGGACCCAGATTCAATCTATTAGACCGAACTACCGGCTGCATTTCTGTATTTATTGAGGGGAAATCTGGAACTTAGATTGATGTAATTATGTAATCATATCAGTGGTGGGTTCCGGTTGCCGTTGCAACCGGTACGGTGTAACAGGGCCCGGTGTCCACATGAACATGCGCAGCGCGCGCATGCATGCATCCTTACCTCTTATGACGCCTCTGCAACGCTCCAGCTGCTCGGCGGAGTGTCGCGCAGGCGCCGGGCACTCCGTAAACCTGTGCGGAAGCACCAAAGAGCTCAAATACAGCTAAGGAGCTTGGACGAGCGGGTGGGCCCTATGGAGCACCGTACAGGAATGGTTCCCGGTGCTCCGCGCAGGCGTCGGTACGCCCGTACCGGGGCGTACCACCTGCAACCCACCACTGAATCACGTGTTTACTTTTAGCACTATAGTATAGATACTATGCATCTATCTATATCTATATATCTGTTTCTATATTTCTCATATAATACTTTTTAAGAATGGAAACTTATTTACTGTGCCACTTTGTGCCTATAAGTTTATAATGGATTCTATAGTTAGAACAATAATTAGTATCTTGGAACAAGCAATATATCAAAGCTACTATGATATCTTCCAAAGTCTGTGCCTGTAATATTTCTGCACCATGAAGAATGCCCAGGTTTACCTTCGTAGTTGCTTCGTTTGCTTATTAATTGTTAACCAATTCTTTCAATTGGGGAGGCTTACTAACCTGTTCTGACCCCCCCCCCCCTCCGTCCAGGAACGAAAGCTGAGACAAACATCAATGAGAATGTTTTTTAATAAGTCCAGACTCTCAATGGCTGAAAGCCAAATCAACAAAAAGATAAGCACTTTGGCAGCAAGTCCTACAACCCTTGGCAGCAATCCAGCACAGACTGACCTTGGCAGCAATCCAGCCTGCCAAGCTAGCCATGATAGCTTCTCCAGCTCT